GCTTTCTACTCCCGTAAAGATTTACACCCTCGGAAACCCTGTACAGGGTCGCTATGAGTCGGAACCGACTTGACGGCACTTAACAACAACAACAACCTTCATGAGTATAGGTCAAGTTCATCAAATTGTAGCAATTTACCCCCTTAGAGGCCTCTTCAGCTCCCCCCAACGTAACAGCCCCCACTGCTGCCCCTGCTTTGCTCTCACCCTGTGCCAATCTAGTCTCCTCTCTGCCTCCAGAGTGGTCATGAAAGAAACAAAACTCCCCTGCTCAAAGACCTTTCATGGCTCTCTAGTGTCTCCAGATCACTTCAGCCCCCCTTTAGCATCTTCATCATCCTCACTACTATTTGTCACCCCATCACATACGAGTTTCTCTTCTCTGTCCACAGAGACACCTCATCATTCTGTAAACGTGCCCTGACTGTTACAGCCCTGGGCCTCCCTCTGTCTGTCCTGCCCACTGGGCACACCCATACACTGCTTTCAAGACCTCCTGGGTGGTGCCCTACTAGACACTGTGCCATCTCCCAGGGCACAACTGTCACACTGGGTTATTGCTTCCTCGGCTTCTTCTTCGAACCAGAGACCGCATCTCATATTCACCATGCAGTTCCAGCATCTCTCCGAAATGAAGATGTGCTGGACAAAACACCCAGAAAGTTCAAAAACATCTAAAGAAGGCCACTGTGTTCCTTCCCGAAAGTCAGAGAAATCTGCCAACTCAGGGAAGGCCCAGATTAAAATGCCTCCCCAAAGGCCTGCCTTTACTTTTTAAAACGTACATTAAGTTAATTCTAATTTTTTAAAATCAAAGTAGTACATGGACATTGTTATAAAAATGCAAACTTTTCTACACACACCCCCTTCTCCCAGCCTCTCGTGTCCTTGGAAGCAGCCACTTTCAACTTTGAGCTGTTTGCTCTGGCACTGAGCTCCACATTTCTAGATAAGTTGCTTATGCTGCTATTTCATGATTTGTTCATTTTCGACAGTGCCTGCTGATTTCCTGTTTTCATAGCTGAGGGTCTGGCTCTCGAACACAGCCTCCCTGCTCCTTTCCCAGCCATCCTCCTGGCAGACAACCAAGGCCTCATTGAGCATCTCTGCCCTGTGGAGGTTCATCCTAAAGCACATTAATGGAGTGTGCGCTGGGGCGCCACGTGATAACGCCAGAGCTACTACCACACAGTTCACGCTCATGACCACCTTCTGAGGGAGGTGGCTTAATCCCTCCCTGCAGCACAAGTGAAGAACAGAGGCCCAGAAAGGTTCAGCAACTTCCCCACAGACACACAGCTTTGAAACTGCCAGGTCTGCTAGACTCCAAGACCTGACTCCCTCCCTCGAACCCAGTCTCCCCTGCCCCAAATTCCATCCCTTCTTCTAAAACCTAATGGATGGGTTCTGGTGATCATTTCCTTTAAACCACCAACAGAGTAGGGAGGAGGAGGAGGAAGAAGGCCACTTACTGGACATTAGAATAAAGTCCACACTCTTCATGGAAGCTCACAGGCCTACCAGGGGTGGGACATGCTGACCTTATCAGGGTTCAATTACATTAACTTTAATGTAAATTAAAGAAGCCCTGGTTGGCATAGTGGGTGAAGCATTGAGCTTTTAACAGCAAGGTCAGCAGTTCAAACCCACTAGACTTTCTGAGGGACAAAGACGCAAGCGTCTGCTTCCTTAAAGATTTATAGAAACCCTATGGGGCGGTGAGTGGAAATCAAGTCAGTAATAGTGAGTTCAGGTTTGAGAATGTAAATTATGAAGTTTAATCACTACCCATTGAGCTCTGGTAGCGTAGTGGTTACGAATTGGGCTGTGAACCTTAAGGTCAGCAGTTTGAAACTACCAGCTGCTCCATGGGAGAAAGATGAGGCTTTCTGCTCCCATATATATTTACAGCCTCGGAAACCCTATGCCGGGTCGCTATGAGTCGGAACCAACTCCACAGCACGTAACAACAACAATTGAGCTCTGGTAAGGAGTTCTGGTAGCATAGTGGTTACGAATCAGGCTGTGAACCGCAAGGTCAGCCGTTCGAAACTACCAGCTGCTCCATGGGAGAAAGATGAAGCTTTCTGCTCCCGTAAAGACTTACAGCCTCAGAATCCCTGTATAGGGTCACTATGAGTCATAACCGACTCCACGGCACGTAACAACAACAACATTGATCATCAATGGTAATAAAAGCACCAAATGAATGCAAGACGTAATAAGAGGGGCTAGCAAATGGAAACTCCCAGTCCTTTCTGTACCTTATTTCTGTAAACCTAAAACTACTGGAAAAAAAGAGCCCATATTTAAAATTAAAAAAAATTTTTTTACATGTCCCTGGGTGGCACAAACTCAGTTAAGCCTTTGGTTACTAACCAAAAGGTTGGTGGTTTGAATCCACCCGGAGGGACCTTGGAAGAAAAGCCTGAGATCTAATGGTTCACAGCCATTGAAAACCCTATGGAACATAGTTCTAATCGGACATACGTGGGGTCACCATGTAGGAATTGTGAAACACTTGAGGTTAACACAAGTCAGAATGAACTTGACGGCAACAGGATCAGGTTTTCGGTTTGTGACACAAGAGAAGAGCAGTAACAATGGAGACCCCACCTGCCCAGGCCACTGACACGCACCAAGTCCTGCAAACATCCATCCCCATAGCCCTCGTATCAGCGTGGCCCCATCTCACAGATAAGGAAGCTGAGACTCAGCAAAGGAAGTCACTTGACCAGGACCACAGGGCTTGTGACTTAACAGTTGAAATCCAAGTGGGGGCTCTGAATGTGCCCCTCCCACCTGCCCATTGGTAGTGTGAGGAGACGTTTATCAGGGAGCTTTTGTCCCCTTACTTGTAAGAGTCTTCCATTCTGTGGCATCAGATGGATGAAAGGGGTAATAGTTATCCAGTGCCCACTATACTCCTGGTGTGGCGCTGTAGGATCAGCACTGGACTGTTAACCCTAAGGTCCACAGTTCAAACCCACCAGCTGCTCCTTGGAAACCCTATACAGGGTCGCCATGAGTTGGAACTGACCTGATGGCACTGAAAAACAGCACAATACAAAGTGTACTTCATGTACATCCGTGGTGGCAGGATGGCTAAGCGCTTGCTTGGCTGCTAACCAAAACGTCCCTAGTAGCTCTGCGCAAGAGAAGACCTGACCATCTATTCCCTTAAAGATTAAACCCCACCTGCTGCCATCAGATCGGACTCACAGCCACTCTATAGGACAGAGAACTACCCCATAGTAGGACTTAGCTTCAGAGAAGCAGAAGGCTTAATAGGCTCAAGCTACCAACCTTTCAGTTAGCAGCCAGTGCTTAACCACTGTGCCACCAGGGAGGGCTCTGTCTTAGAGTCACTGAGTTGAAATCGACTCCACGGCACACTATCATCTTCACTTGCCCCCTCCCCTTCAGGTTTCTGTTTAAACATCATCTTCTCAAGAGGGTTCCCCTGTTGCGTCCCCTAAACAAAACATCATCACCTTTCCTTAGCCCATCACCTAACATACCAGATTTTTCTTGTTTATCCTCATCTCCCCCAAGGGTAGGGGTTTTGTCTCTTGTTGCCATCTCAGAGGAAGACTTGGTAGTGCAGAATTAAACATGTTGCTGCTAACCCACAGATCAGTGGTTCAAACCCACCAGCAGCTCTGCGGAAGAAAAGACCTGGTGATCTGCTCTCATGAAGATTTCAGCAGTGAAAACCCTATGGGAAGTTCTGCTCTTTTCTAAAGAGTCACTAAGAGTCAGAATCGACCTGGCAACAGGTCTGCCACCAGAGCTGGCGGTGTGCCTGGCATATACGGCAGGGGCTCTGCACAGCCTTAGGAGGGCAGTGTGGACTATTGCTATAATCATTTTACAGACTAGGAAACTGAAGCAAACGGAGCTTAGGTAACTCACCCAAACCGCCCACAATTCTGGAGAGTGGGGGTGCTTAGATTCAAACCTAGCCCTTTGTTCCCAGAGTCTCCCAGCTTCAGCTGATGGAAGGTTCAGAATGGGCCAGGCAGCCTACAGTTCGCCCTCGGTGGGGCTGGTGAATTTGAACCGCCGACGTTTGGGTTAGCAGCCCAACGCTTAACGTACAGCAGCACCAAGGCTCCTTGTGAGCGCGTATGTTACCCGAAAGCTCTGTTCTATTGTGCACAGGGTCCCTGGGTCGAAGACAACTCGATGGTACCTAATAATAACAGCAAATGTACCCGGGCAGTGGTTGTCATGAAGCCCATTTTACGGGAGGAGAAACTGAGGCTGAGTTCGGCAGGGCGGAGACCGGGGTGGGAAGCCCCGAGGGAGGCCCTCACCTCGCAGTATCCGCTCCGCGTTGTCCTGCGCCTCCAGCATCCGGTCCACCACCCGCTCGTGGTGCTCCAGCAGCCGGCGCTGCTGCGACTCGGCGCGGTTGGTGCCCAACAAGCTCAGCAACTCCTGGCTCAACTTCTCCATATCGCGGAACGCCGCCATGGCTACTCTACGGTGAAGCCCGCGCAAACTCAACTGCACGCAGGGCCCCACCCCCTTTGAGAGACATCATTTTCATTGGCTTACTCCTCCGTCAGTCATCAGAGAGGGGCGAGGACGCAGCGGGTCCGACCTTCTGCGCCTGCGCGGCTCCCGCTTAGTTCTTTAGTGAAAAAAGAGCGCGTCTCTCGGAGTCGTGCCTGATGCGCCTGCGTAGGCAGCAAATCTGTAATTTATTTCTGATTTAAAGAGTGCCTGCTGAATGCGGGCCGAGATTCTAGCGACCAAACAATGAACACCTTCTGATTGTAGTACATACATTTTTCTAAGAGGCTGCATAGCAAAATAGGCCCTACAACCGGATTTACTGAGTTCGAATCCCAACTCTGTCACTTACTAGCTGTGTGATTGTTGTTGTTAGGTGCCATCCAGTCAGTACGACCCATAGCGACCTTATGCACAGCAGAACGAAACACTGCCCGATCCTGGGCCATCCTCACTACTGTTGTCACGCTTGAGCTCATTCATGCTGCCATTTGGCCAATCCATCTCGCTGGGGGTCTTCCTCTTTTTCTCTGACCCTCCACCTTACCAAACATGATATCCTTCTCCAGCGACTGGTCCCTCCTGACAATATGTCCCAAGTATGGGAGACGAAGTTTGGCCGTCCTGGCCTCCAAAGAGCCATCTGGCTGCACTTCTTCCAAAACGGATCTATTGGTTCTTTTGGCAGCCCATGGCACTTTCAATATTCTCCTCCAACACCATAACTCAAAAGCATCAATTCTTCTATGGTCTTCCTTATTCGCTATCCAGCTTTCGCGTGCATGTGAGGTTATTGAAAATACCATGGCTTGGGTCAGGCACACCTTAGTCCTCAAGCTGACATCTTTGCTCTTCAACACTTTTAAAAGGTCTTGTGCAGCAGATTGGCCTAATGCAATACTTTTTCTGATTTCTTGACTGCTGCTTTCATGAGTGTTGATAGTTGATCCAAGGAGAATGAAATCCTTGACAGCTTCAATCTTTTCTCCGTTGATAAGAATGTTGTTTATTGGTCCAGTGGTGAGCATTTTTGTTTTCTTTACATTGAGATGTAATCCATACTGAAGGCTGTGCTCTTTGATCTCCATCTGTAAATGTTTTAAGTCCTCTTCACTTTCAGTATGCAAGGTTGTGTCATCTGCATATCGCAGGTTGTTAATGAGTCTTCCTCCAATCCTGATGCCACATTTTTCTTCATAGAACCCAGCTTCTCGGATTATTTGCTCAGCATACAGGATGAGTAAGGATGGTGAAAGAATACAACCATTACTTGACCCCTCTGTGCCTCATTTTCCTCAGGGTTGGCATAAGAGTTGAATGAGGATGGTACTATTGCCAGTGGAGTAGGCAGCCTATGCACAGTGGAAGACCCAGTCCCAAACCATCTTCGTCATCACTGGTATGCTTACATCCACAGTTGTGGCCCTGAGTGTTTTGAGTGCCTTCCAACCTAGGGGGTTGATCATCCAGCACTATATTATGCATTATTCTGTGGTAATCAATAGGTTTTCATTGACTAATTTTTGGAAGTAGATCACCAGGCCTCTCTTCATTTGTCTTAATTTGGAAGCTCCATGGAACTCGTCACCATGGATGACCCTGCTGGTGTCTGAAATACTAGGAACAATACTCAACCCACACAGTATAACAAACTGACAGGTTATGGAAACACTAAATAGGTACTAAATAAAACATAGTGTTCATGAATGTGAGAAACACTGTTGGTACCCTGGACACTATCTCGGCCCCTCTTAGGCACTTATTGTTGTTAAGTGCCATCGAGTCCATCCTGACCCATTGTGATCCTGTGTAGGGTTACCAAGGAGCAGCTGGTGAGCTTGAACCATTGACCTCGCAGATCAAATGACTTTGCAGTCTGACTGACGCATTACCTAGTGGACCAGTATAAACCCTGATTTGGACCTTACCCTGATGGGACTCCAGATGGAGGGATTGCTTTATCCCGTATGAGGTCGCCGATGGGTTATCACAGGTGTTTACTGACAAATGCTCAAGAAATCCAATCCATATACATTTTAGAGAGAGAGAGAGAGAAAGAAAGACGGAGGGAGGCGTAAGGGAGGGAGGGGGAGAGAGAGACCTGTTTATTCGATTTTGCAAAATCGGGCGTCAGACCCAGCAGCCATGGGTAGAGGAGACGCATGGGCAGCTCGCAAACTGTTTTATTCTCCTATCTCAGAAAAAGCCCCTCCTCCATTTCCCCCTTTACTGGTACTTTGGAGTTTACAATCTTTACCGAATGCTTACTAGTCCTTACTGGGGGCGTTCTCATTTATATTTGTTTTCCCCCTCCCCATGAACTTCTCCTATTTCCTTGATGGGTCTATTCTTGTTTTAAAAGAGTCTATCGGCTAAGACAGAGCCATTGCCATGCTGCAATGAGTTTCGATGACGGGTAAGACTGAGGAATTCGCACTGACCGCCTAAGACAGGCAGCGTCCCTTAAACAAATAATAAATAAGGGGGAATCTGATGCAGACCGTGCAGACCCGGTCAGGAGTTCAAGTCCCTGTGGGCCCAAACGTTGCTGACCGTCCAAACCATAGGCTCTGAGGATCAGACTTTAGCCACCTAACAGACACAGCAAAATGTCCCTTATCTGATTATTCAAATATGCTGGTTAGTAATTCCATACATGAGCCCTGGATACCCACAGATAAATGTAAAAACCTTCCTTAAAAGCCGAGACTGTAAATTCCAAAAAGGCAAAGTTTTCCCCCCCAAAAAAAGCTAAAGAGGATAGAGAGAAACTCTGTTAACTGATGGTATGTGGAGGGGATTATAATCAATGTAATGAAACAAGGTATATGAATGTTTGAATGTGAAACCGATGATGTGCCCTGAAAACTTTCACTCAATCCACAATAAAAACCTTAAAAAAAAAAAAAAAGAGTCTATCGGGTCAAACTAGTCTCTTCCTCTCCTCTAAGGTCCCTTTTGTTATGCCAGCCTGCTACCCCCAAGATTCCCTTAATTCTGAAGATGGATCACCCCAAAAGCTATTTCTCACAGTGAATGAGCTGCTCACCAGATCATATACCATGCTATGTGCCGGGTTACAGTGGAGAAAAGACAAATTTCCCACTCTCGTGCCATGGTCCTCAAATTTCACATCAAGAAATCAGGAGTCAAAAAAAAAAAGAAAAAAGAAATCAGGAGTCATGGCCAGCATTTCCTACAAAATAGAAATGTTGAAAATAGTATGGCATATGGAAAGTTAAGTATTGTTTGGAGAAGATCCAAATGATGAAATGTTGTTAGGAGCCATTGAGTCAGTACTGACTCACAGCGACCACCCAATGCACAACAGAATGAAATCCTGTCCGATCCTGGGCCAATTTCACAATCGTTGCTATGTTTGAGCCCATTGATGCTGCCATTGTGACAATTCATCCATTTGGGGGTCTTCCTCTTTTTTTCCAAACCCTCCACTTTTCCAAACATGTATCCTTCTCCAGTGACTGGTCCCTCATGATGAGATATTTGAAGTATGAAAGACGAAGTCTGGCCATCCCAGCTTTCAAGGAGCACTCAGGCTGCACTTCTTCCAACACAGATCTACTGATTCTTTTGACAGTCCATGGTACTTTCAATATTCTCCTCCATTACCATAACAAATGCATCGATTTTTCTATGGTCTTCCTTATTCACTGTCCAACTTTCGCATGCATATGAGGTTACCAAAAATACCATGGCTTGGGTCAGGTGCACCATAGTCCTCAAACTGACACCTTTGCTCTTCAACACTTTAAAAAGGTCTTATGCAGCAGATTTGCCCAATGCAATGATGAAAAGACCTTGGCAAATAAGGTTCTAGGTAGAGGGAACTGCAAGTGCAAGGTTTAATATGTTTGATATGTTATGAACTGCAAAGACACATTTTATGTAAAGTTTAATATGATTGAGGAACAGCAAAGAGGCCAGTGTGTCTGGAGCAGAGTGAGTAGGGCAGGTTGTCACAGACATGAAGCTCTGGGAAGAACTGTATAGTCTGAGTGTGACAATAAAGCTTCGGAAGCTGCGAAAATAATTTCTTTTAAAGGAACAACACAAAGTTGATTTCTATGAGGCAGAGGTTCAAGGTGAACCACATGTCCAACTGGAGTCCTGCTATGACACTATAGGATAAGCACTGGACTGCTAACTACAACGTCAGCAGCTCAAACCCACCAGCCACTCCTTAGAAACCATATACAGGGCCAATAAGAGTCGGAATTGACTCAATGGCACTTAACAACAACAAAATGTCCAACTTTTCAAACGGCTACATCACTCCATCAGCTCAGACATCAACTATTCCTCTAGTTCATCTCTGAGGTCTAAAATCTTCTGCAATATGTCAGAGAGCTCACCAACTGTCAAATGACTCGTGTGGTTGAGGAAGCGGTAATTCCCAAATCCATGAATCAAGCACCAAACTGTAGGTTTCTTCTGATTCATGTGGTTGCATGGGCTGAAGAATCCAAAGTGGCCTGTTAGTCACAAGGCTGCTGCAGAAGTTGGCAAATCAGGTCAGAGTATAGGTTGCTGGCACAAGTTTTAAGAACTGGAGATCAGATGTTGATAAGCTGGATGCAGGATCCAAAGCAAGAGAAATAAAATTTTCCAAAGCATTACCCTTGAACTACTCAGGGTTGAACTTCCTGTTGTGTTGCAGTGAGCTCAAATGTTGTGAGTACCCACTCACCGTGCCTTGTTGCTCCAAACTGTATGAATTGCTCCAATAACTGCTAGCCCCTTACTCTTTTATCACCCATAATTGGAGATAATTAGCATCACATGGCAATTTAAGTACATACAACATTTGAGCTCACTGCAATAGTTAAAAAAACAAAATTCTGCATATAAATGAATCCATGCAGTTCAAACTTATGTTGTTCAACAGTGAGCTGGACACTCAAGGAAACTCCTTTTACTTGAACGAGGCAATACAAGGG